AATCTGTAACATTCTGTGATTCTGTGATATGCAAATAGAACTATCCCTAAGGATTCTGTGTTATTTCTGAAGTCTGGTCTCTTTCGTATCTTTGTAATTATTCAAATTGTTTTCTGCTAAGACCCAAAAATTCCAGAGCATTTCCAGCCTTGAGTTTATCCTGTAAAAACAAAACACAGACATATGTTTGTGTGTGCTTAATTTATAATTTACTCAAATGCTTTCACTCGTGCTTTGAAATGAACTGCTGCAAAGAGACTAAAAGGCCTCTTCAGTCTTTGCAGACATCTGTACTACTCTGATTTTTCAGTGTTTTATCTCAGCTCCAAAACCAGAGGCTTAAAAAGGAGGGAAAAAAAGCCCCCCCAAATATAAAGATCATACCTTCAGTTTATTGTCAAAATCTTCCATTGAATCAATCAATTTTCCAGGTTCCGGTTCCCCCAGTGGAAAAGGGTAATCTGTCCCCAAAATAACTTTGTCCTAGTAATAAAAAACATGTTGTACATTTTGTGGTAAACTTAAACAATATAGTTGCATGTGGTTTCTGGAATTTATAATAAACCACAGGAAATTACATGTATATATTGGACTGATAAATTGCATAAATTAATATGAAGATAATCTTTGTATTCCAACTTTTATTAGGAAAATAACAAAGCTTGAAAACAATGACTCAAGAGCTTATTAAGTGAATTCAAGTTTGAAAAAAAAAGTACACGTTATTGATCGTTTTTGTGGTGTGTAACTAAACTTTGGTATAGTTTTATTCTGATACACAGAAAGTTCAAAATGCAAATCCCAGGCCCATGGGAATGAGGGTACATTGCTCAAGTGAATATGACACAAATGGTAATTTCCTACTCAGATTTGCTGGTTTGAAACGTAACATAAACATATCTCTTGTTCTGTGGCACTACTCATGCTGCTTTTGCAAGTAGTTTGCTTAAAATGCGGTGATTAATCTTGGTTAAGTGTTGCCATAATTAAATAGCCAATAAAGGACTGTGCTGGGTTTGCGTGGCAAGGTTTTGGTAGCAGGGGAGCTACAGGGGTGGCTTATGTGAGAAGCTGCTAGAAGCTTCCCCTGTGTCTACCTCAAGGATACACAGAATTCTTTCTGTTTCTCAACTTACTTTTGGGTTCTTTTTCATGCTCATTGCATGCTCTGCACTGTGGTGTGCAGTCCAAAATGACTATGAGAGTTTTTGACACATTTAAGAATTTCAGGAAGTTCTCCACCAAACTCGGAAAAGGTGCTTGGATTTGCATTCCTGAATTTGAAATTTCTGACTACACACACACACACAGACAAAATTATAAATATGTGAGAAAAATGTGTAATAAAAATACAAAGCAATCAGTGTTATCTTTTGAGTGATAACTTTAAAAGCTGTAGTAGTTGCAATGTGATACTACTTAAAGCATGGTACAGTGTAGAAGTACTACAAAAACTTGAATAAAAAATATTTAATTTAATTAGTATTCAGCTTCAGACAACAAAACCAAAATCTCATTTACAAAATTTTGTATCTTTTTGGAACCCTATATTTTTTTTTTAAGACATCATCGTGTCTAACTGGGATTGGATATTAGATGTGTGTTTGAAACATGTCTGAGAATATGAGTGACATGATATAATTTGTTTCTGAAAGCAAGTCAGTGAAAAGAAAATTCAATAGAAGTCTGTATGCATCCTTCCTGTTATCAGAGATGAAAATAAACAGGCAGATCCTCAGTAGCTCCCCATTGCTATAGGTTCATTTTCAAACTGGAATAATATTTCCCTATTTTATCTACCTTAGAGAGTGCTTATTGACAATTCTCTTGATTTTATCAAAAGTCTATTTTCCTTTAAGCTTCATCTCCTGAAGACATGAATATTTGAAAGCCACAGTTTTAATTAAAATATATTTTTTTAAACATCTCATGAATTTGAAGTCAAGCTCATGAATTTGGGGCACATGTTATATTTGAACTCAGTTACTGAAATGCCTTTTTTTTTTTTTTTTTTACGTCCAGCAGGTGTCACCCGAGAGTCTCTGGAAGAACCCATACAGAACCTTACACGACAAACAGAAGATGCACGTTCTACTGTTCTGTTCTGTATTGTCGTGTTCTAATTTACGGAAGAATTCTTGCCATAAGATTAGAATAGGAGACTTTATAGTCCTCTGCCTACTAAATCAAGTTCTGAGTGTAGATTAAACAAAATATATTTGTATGTGTGTAAGTTTAAGCAGCTAAATACGTTATTCTATTTATAATATTCAATCTGATATCAAGACATTTCCTTCAGATATCAACACCAAATGTATGCTATATACAACACCCACCCCAAACAGCAAACACACTAGCTTTATAAGAGAAAAATGGATTTCTAAGTAAAGGAGACGGAAACCCAGTATTCACCCAGCTGTTTATTAGTCAAGGTTAAGTAAGCCAGGAGGGTTTGTACATTCTTGTTTATGTCTCCTATATACCAAAGCAGAAATAAATGCCGTGCCCTCATTGGAATAATATATATATTATTTAAATTCTATTTTTATTTTCCTCTAATTTAAACTGTTTCACAGCTAATCATATGATCTATTCATTAGCAGTAAAACCAAGAACTGTAAATTAATGAGAAAAATTTAGAAGCAGCATTACTGCCCTGCTACTAGTCACATTAGGTTATTCATTTATACTCTGGGCTTCGGTTTTGTACCAATCTATAAAATGGAGATTTAGCAACCAGCCTCAGAGAAGTCCTGTGAAATCTCTGCAGATAAATAATACTCCTAGCATAATAGATGTATTATTATATTATTCCAAAGTATATCAGCAAAGTCAGTTTTCCCTAGAGGACTTGTAGTTCGGTACCTTAATCAGTGCATCTCTCCTTTTGGAAAGGTACATATGGCTAATGATTAACCTCAGTGGACGCTTCTACTCAACAGAACTTTTTCCACGGTAATAGGGACCTGAATCTTAAAATGAATCTTAAAGAGCATCAAGCATGGATTTGTCCTCTTATATTAGAGAAAATTTGTATTTGCCTTTAATCTCACCTTGTTTTCAGCTATCAGGGTACATTTCAAAAAAAGGCCAGACTGCTATAGCCAGTTCAGCTCCAGCTTCTCACCAGAATGTTTTATCTTTGGGGGATGGCTCTTGAGGAATCACCATGGGGAAGTTTTTGCAGAGATTCACTGAATCATTTAATCTCCTGTCAACCCAGATCTTCACTTTTTATAGCCAGCATCATTAGGGATTTTGTGTTTATTTATAGTCACTTCGTGCTACCTCATCATGGGTGGAGCAAAGACTGCAGGAATTTTGCAGTCTTACAGAATTCTTTCTCAGAAATATATACTTCTGCTTCCTTTAACTGGGATAGGCTCCGATTAACCTGCACCCAAAACTAAGAAGGGATGAAGTTAAATGTACATGACTCATAACAGCTGTCACTGGATTTTAATGTTCATAACCTCAAAGCCAGCACATTACATTCCGATGCCAGGTAACGGCTGTTCCCTAAGGACCTGAAGCCATGTCTAAGCACATCTTCACACACACTGATGCCCTTCCTGCACAGCTCTTAGCTGTACTCTAGAGAGCTGTCCTATTTCAAACCTGCAGCTTATAAAGTTACAGTGTCATCCTCAAGACCAAATCACATTGGTTTTAGCCCACATTTATTCATCCTATATTTGTTAGTCTGCCAACATGACTGTACTGAAAACACCGAGATATTAGGCACTTTTTAAAGCATTTGATTCTTGGAATGGTATTATGGAAGAATATCAACTTTAATTGGAAAAGAGAGTGAACTTTCTAATTTTCATGGTTATAAAGTAAAGCTTGAAAATGTGATTTTTTTTTTTTTCCCCAAGGATAAGATGCCTTAGGCTGTGAAAAAGACAAAGAAAATGTCCTTTTTTTTTTTTTTTTTAAGTTCTCTGGAGCATTAAAAGCATTTAGGTTTTTGGGATCTGACTCATGACTTTTAAGCACTGTGGTTCTACCTGATGTCACATTGCTTGAGCTCAAAATACTCAGAGGAAAATTAAAGATGACACCAACATCCCATGTAGTACACTGGTCATATTTATTGCATTAAGAAAATTTCAGATGTCTGTTGACAAAATAAACAAGACACCAGAGATGCTATCGCTGAGTGACTTTTAGATTGTTGAATTAGAATCCACAACATCCTCAAACAACTAAATTTCAGTTACAAACACTAATGACTATTAAGGGCCAGAGTCTGTGTGTTGCTCTTAGGAAGAAAGGTAGAGAAGTTACAGTTCAAGTGTGGTGCAAAGACAGCAGCTTTCTCACAAGAGCCATAGCTTAGAGTAGCCTCGAGATGCAAAGCTAACGTGTTACTCTAAAGCAGAACTGCTATGAGACTTGCATTCTATACAAGTTAAAACAGAAAAAAAAAAAAGTTGTCAGCAATAGATTAAACATCCTGTTGTACTTTCTCTCCTGCTTTGCTCTTGACATTTATAGTTCAGCTTAAAACCAGCATCAGCCCAGAAAAGAATAATCTGGGGGTCTCAGCCATGCTGAGTCACACCACTTCTAGTTTACCAAGGTCTTTCTAACAACGGCAAAACATATCTCTCAATGTTTTAAAATAGAAAGAAAAAAAAAAATAGAAACAAGCAAGTAATCTTGTCTCCTTGGCAATAAAAAAGGGGATCTGACTACCTAAACATGGCAATTTAATATTCAAGAGCTAGACTCATCCCTGCTATACTATAACTGCACACAGAACAATAATATACTTAGAATGAACAAGGTCTAGGTCTGGGGAGACTTCTCAGAAAAGTAGAAGGCAATTCCTGAACTGTTACTCTATAAGCCTTTGGGTATCTTGTAAAATGGAAGTGCATATCACATCCGGTAAAATTTTTAAATCTGTTGTAAAAACTACTTAAAGCCATTTGATTACTATAAACTACAGTTAGATTCAAAAGGTAATGCACAGGAAAACATCCTGGACTGTTGACCATGATATATTTACTATTTAGAGGCTGGTAACAGAAATTAACATAAATACTGGGCTGGAGTCCTAGTATTTTTGTAGTAACCCATCTGGTGCCTAAAACTTCATCCCTGTCCTGGTTTCAGCTGAGACAGAGTTACCTTTCTTCACAGTAGCTGGTAAGAGGCTGTGTTTGGATTTGTGCTGAGAAAAAGGCTGATCACATACTGATGGTTATAGTTGCTGCCAGGGCAGTCAGGACCTTTTCAGCTTCTCTGCTGTGCCAGTGTCTGCAGGGGCAGGAGAAGCTGGGAAGGGAGCACAACCCCGATTACTAGCCTAGGATTCGACCTTAGGTTTAGGATTGAGATCCACGAGACCCTCGTTCTTATCTCAACCCACAAGTCTCTTTTTCCCTTCACTCCTTTAATTCTCTTCTCTGTCCCTGGGACAGGAGAGGGTGGTTGATCAATTGTTCCGGTGTCTGCCAGCCAGGGTCAAAACGATGACAGTCCTTTTTGGTTAGGAAACATAATGAATGCTTATCGGATGTTTGTTTTAATACACTTTGTCCAAGTCTGACCTTATCTCAACCGCTCAAGCTCCACATTGGGTGCCAAAAAGGACTGTTGTAATTTTGACCCTGGCAAATTTACCAAATGACCCAGAGGGAGACAACCCAGAGCAAGAGACCTGGAGCAAGAGAGACTGACCCAGACAGACCCTCATCTATATACTGGGCACGACATGCATGATATGGAGTAGACCATTGGCCAGTTTGGGTCTCAGCCCTAAACCTAAGTTACCTAAGAGTACCAAGATAATGAAAAGCAATAGTTTCTTCTGCATTATTATTTTTGGCTGGCCTAGGCACGTCACTTCTGTACCAGTTCTAGTACAGATTTATTGCAGTAACCTGTTCAGACTGTTGGAGATGAAAATGGGAAGTCAACAGCATCTCTTCTGTAGAGATAAAGAAAGCATTTGGCTTAGCTGTGTTTGTGAACTTCAGTCATACAAGAGACCCTGATGACAGCAGCAGCCCCATACCTAAGAAAGTACTACATGACCCTAGAAACTAACGTACAGGAAACAGGAATACAGCCCCTGAGACAAGAAAGTCACTGTCAGAGTGACTGAGAGAATTTCTCTTTTTGACAGCTGGTACATATCTGCCTGCTAGCTGCAGAAACTGCATGAAGTCCAGAGATCAAGACACAAATACAGGTCTCTTGTTGATTTGCAGTGATCCAGTGGAAGTTGGTATGAGTGATGCCATCTTCACCCGATCCCGAGCATTTATTAATGGGAAGGAATTATTTGATTGTTTTGGATTTTTCTGTTTTTTTTCATGCTGTACCTGATTTAAACAGGTTGCTAAACTAACAAAGATTTCTTTCCTCTCTCCTCTACCAATTAAAATATTTTTGCAAGCCCATGATGTTTAACATGCTCTCTAGGATCCTCACAAAAACTTTCATTATTACAGACTTTTTTCTGCCTATAACTTCACAAGTGGAAATACAGTTTGATTTCTTGAAATATACACCTCAATTTGAAAAGTAAGCCACTTGAAAACAAGGCTCCAAATGAAGCAGTCTTTGCTTGCACACTCATCCTGAACAACCTTACACGAGGAACTAGCCTCACTAAACTAAGGTCCACAGCGCATGATTTTCTGGATTAAAACCACCATTTCGATAACCCTATATAGGAAAAACATTATCAACATGGCAGAAGCCTGTCAGTTTATAATAGCTCAGGTTCTGATTTTACTGGGTGAATATGTTGTCTTCTTCCTGCTTTCTTCTTCTCTTCTCGTTTTGCCGTTTCATAGAGAATTAAATAAAGAATGACTCACCTGCTTCTGGAAGCATTAAAACTCACCTCTCCTATTACACTTGTTAGCAGCCTTAGTGCACCACGATCATGGACAAGAGAGTCTGTGTAAAATGAACCAAGGTATTTTCTTGGATCCACCTTATTATCCACTGCACACAAATCAGGGCGCATGTTGAATCCATGGGAGATTCGTCCCACTGTGTATGGAAAAGCTCCACCTGAAAGAAGAAGATTTTAGTAACAGAAGCTGAAAATATGCAGGAGGAAAAAAAACCACATTATCAACAGAGACCCATAAGTTTTACTGTCAGCTATTTAGAAAGGTGGTGTGCACCAGAAATTTTTTACTCCTTCCCCTTCATTAGTTTCTTTCTCTGTTTTCCACATTTATTCACTACTGTGATGCCCAAATTCCTCCTGCTGCTTCCTTTTCCATTTCCCTTACTCATCTCCTGTCTCCTTGTTTCCCTTAAACAGTGTTGTAACAATTCAAACACTGGCTGAAGCAGGCTAGAGAGGGTTCATACAAGCAGCAGATCTGGCAGATATCTGCTTTGGGGTAATAGCACTCAGCTGGTGGCAGCTTTAAAGTGGTAACCCTATTAGCTGGCATACCAGAAAATAACATTGTACCATGCTCAACTAAAGAACAGGTATTTCACATGGCTTATTACCTACCTCCGTGTGCGAAGCAAACTTTCAGTTTAGGAAATTTTTCAAAAATTCCACCCATAATCATGGAGCAAATGGCTATGGTTGATTCTGCTGGCATGCCTAAAACAAAAAAAGCTTTATTGTATGAGAGTTTTATTTTTTATTTTTGTGCTTGAGTTTTCAATGTTATCTTCATTTTCTTAAATTAGGCTTGAACCTACTGAAAAAATAACAGTTACAGAGCACCTGTCAAAGGTTACACATTATTTCTATTAGAGAAACATGGAATTGAACATTAATTAACTGAAGGGAGGACAGAGGACTGGAAGCTAAGATCTTCTGAATTCTAAGCCCAGTTTTTATCCTACACCACTAGGACAGCTGACAGGCAGATTAGGTATGTCATATTGGGTTTGCGTGTCAAGGTTTTGGTAGCGGAGGGAGCTACAGGGGTGGCTTCTGTGAGAAGCTGCTAGAAGCTTCCCCTGTGCCCGATAGAGCCAATGCCAGCGGGCTCCAGGGCAGAACCCCCCCGCGCCCCATCAGTGACGGTGGCAGTGCCCCTGGGATAACGTAGTTCAGAAGGGGAAAAAGTTATTGTGCAACAGCAACTGCAGCTGGAGAGAGGAGTGAGAATGAGGGAGAGAACTCTGCAGACACCAAGGTCAGTGAAGAAGGAGGGGGAGGAGGTGCTCCAGGTTCCAGAGCAGAGGTTTTTCCTGCAGCCTGTGGTAAAGACCATGGTGAGGCAGGTTATCCCCCTGCAGCCCATGGAGGTCCACGGTGGAGCAGAGATCCACCTGCATCCCATGGGGGACCCCATGCCAGAGCAGGTGGATTTGGTTTTATTTCTCATTATCCTACTCTGATTTGATTGGTAATAGATTATTTTTTCCTCAAGTCACATCTGTTTTGCCAGTGATGGTAACAGCTGAATGATCTCTCTGTCCTTATCTCAACCTGTGAGCCTTTCGTTATATTTTCTCTCCCCTGTTCAGCGAAGGACGGGTGTGACAGAGTGGCTTTGGTGGGCACCTGGCATCCAGCGAGGGTCAACTTAGCACAATCCTGAACTGCACAGTACAGCTGATTGCCCAGTTATCCTAGTTCAAAGGCAATCTGGAATATGCCAGGTTCTCTTCTCACCTCTGCTTCTTTTGTGTGTAAAGTGAGACAGTTATGTTCGTGGATATTCCAGCACAAATCTGGGGTTTAGTTGTGCCATGGTGCCAGTTCCTACAGTTTAGAACTAACATCTCTCTCTCTTTTTTTCTCTGTACTAGTACCTTTGCAACAATCTCCTGGGCATAATCCAGTGACAGTTCATAAATTTAGATTAAACAAAGTAATTATACACTCACCTATTAGCCAGGGAAACCAGTATTTGGACATCCGTCCATCTGTCTGCATGTCCCAGGGATGCACAAAGAGACAGCAATTTAATTGTTCAGCAGCCTGCAGCAAAAAGAAAAAATCTAAATCTTGAGTAATCATACCAAAATGCATCTTAGTTCTTAGCCGTGCTTTAAAGATTACCTACAAAACTGTACTAAGCATTAGTACTAGCAATGAAAACTGGCCCAGAGATAAGAGCTATAAGCAGTAGTTGGTTATATTTACTCCTCTGGGCCATATCCTTGAAGTCCACACTCAGTTTCTTTTTGAGAGTACAGGATTGGAAACACTGATGAGAGTATATTTTTCATAAACCAAGTGTTCCTCAGATTAACGTGGTACAAAAAAGTTTTTTTAGCAGTTTTTGTCAGCCATCTAGCAGTATAAAGCTTGTTTCAAATTAGCATACTTTTGGTTTCATTACACACACGAGGATGACTCTCATAATGTTTTATAGAACCATTTTAGGATAGTTTTGCAGAATTGTTTCAGCTACATTCAGGAGTTTTCATTGCTGTTGCTCTACACTTGTCCCCTTTGGCCCTCTGCCTGTCTTAAAAAGAAGTTAGAACTATTCCTAATCCATCCTAAGAGTTCAAAATATAGCTGTATTCTGACCAATAACCCTTCTCCACTCAAGTGTATTAATTTGTCCAAAACTAGTGACATCTTTGGAAAGGAACACAGAAGAACAATATAGGATGCTGACTCTGACTGCAGAATATAACTATGTGCTTAAATTTAAGCAGTCATTCATATGCTTAACTAGAATTTAACAGCTTCATTTTGTCAGATGTATTTCTGGACCTTCTCTTGTTGCTAAGGAGATTATCACACATTTGAAAAATTTGGGTTTATTTACCCATACATGTATAAATAAAGCTGCAACTTTTGGATTGTAGGGAGTAATTGCCATCTACATATGTAAACTAAAAATAGCAATTCAATAACTGGCTTGGTAGATTGATGGAGTTAATTATCAAATATGGCTTCATTTCACAACCTTTATTATCCCAGGATGTTTCTAAAAGTGATAGAGGTTACTTCCTACATGTGTTAAACATAAGCTGAAGAATGTACAGTATAAGAGAAAGATCCCAGTACAAGAGAGGGATCCTAGTATAAGAGAGAAATGGAGCTACTGGAGAGAGTCCAAAGATGAAGAAGGAACTGGAGCATCTCTCCTATAAGGAAATGCTCAAGAAGAGAAGGTTCAGGGGGATCTTATTATATATATATGAATACCTGAAGGGAGGGTGTAAAGATGGAGCCAGGCACCTTTCTGTGGTGCCCTCTGACAGGACCAGAGGCAATGGGCACAGACTGGAAAACAGGAGGTTCCCTCTGAACATCAGGAAACACTTTTTTACTGCAGAGGTGACTGAGTACTGGCAGAGGTTGCCCAGAGAGGCTGTGGAGTCTCCACCCTTGGATACATTAAAAAACCATCTGGGCATGTTTCTGGGTGTCTGGCTCTAGGTGGCTCTGCTTGAGCAGGGGTGTTGGACCAGATGACCTCTAGAGGTCCCTTCCAACCTCAGCCATGCTGTGATTCTGTGAATGTGTGCATCTCCAAGAGGGGAGGTTGATTGACTGACTGTATATGACCATAAAAACAAATAGTCCAGATGCTGCACTAACAGGATTCTTGAATAAATTGAGCATTCTGAAAAATAACCCCTATGGGTCAATTTCAAGCTGACAGCTATAATAACCTGTGAAACAGATACAGAATGTACATTGATTAAACCCCATAATTTAGACAAATGACCATGCTCATCTGGACCTCAGGCTATTTAAGAAATGCAATCTATCAATTCAATTATAATCAATACATCCAGTTTGGGACTGGAATTTTGCATAATTCTGTATGGTACTTTGGCTCTATAGGTACCTCTGAAGATCTCAGGGAATTTTATCAATTACATCTAGAGGACTGGATACAGTAACTTGAACCCAAAAGCAAACAGTGCATAAATGCTTTATTTCATACTGCAATTATACTCACAAATCAAGAAGCCAATTCTACAGTGAGAACTCATATCATAAAAATATTTTTTGTTTTTATTATGAAGTATGGTTTAGAATGTTTTATATTGTATTATTATTAGATCCTGTAATGAATTATCATATATAATTAAAGCTGAATCTCTTTGATCACTAAGCAGATTAGAAGGGTCAATTGTTTAAACATATCTATAAATTTGGTTGATGACTGAATATGTCCCAAGGTATTTTTAGACAGAATTCCATTTTACAGAATTCCCCAAAATAAGGAAAGAAACATTAACTCACAGCATAAATACCATACAGTTCTGGTGCATTCAGGTCCCATTCATTGACATGAGTTCCTATTTGTACTCCAGGAAATCCAAGTTCATTCACGCAGCGATGCATTTCCTTCACAGCCAGGTCTGGAGCTTGCAAAGGTAATGTACCCAAGCCAATAAACCTCTTGGGGTACTTTTTTACTGTAGCAGCTAAGTCATTATTTAATATTTGGGCTAGATCTAAAGTATCCTGAGGTTTGGCCTGATAAGATATTAAGCAGAATAGTACATTAAAATATAGTTCTCAAATGTTATCACCTTTGGAAGATATTGGATAAATGTCACTGAAAACAATTCAGAGACAGGGTTTGAACCTAAAATTTACTTTACAGTTCTGAATGGCTGGAAAGCAGCAGGGCTAAATCCTGCCTTGCTTTAAAACCTCTGGTTGCAGTTCTGCTTCTTGTCTTGAATATTTTCTGAACTGATCTTGCCTTTACTGCTCAAGATGAGTGTAATAAATCCCAAGTTGTTGATACACTTAAGTATCCGGTCTTTTGTGTAAACCAGTCCTCTGTTTTTGTTATCCCAATGCAAAACCTCAGCATGTAATTTTTAAACATAGCAACGAATATTTACTCTCCTATTAGTGGAGCTGAAGAGATAAAAATAAGAAATGTGAGATGCTGGAGCATTAGAATTCTACAGAGAAAACCTGAACAAACCTCTCTAACATTTAGAAGGAGATAACAGTCATAATTCTAACAAGTGAATTGCAATATCCATACAATTAGTTTCCCATTTCCCCCCCCCCCCAATACATATTTAATGGAAAATATTCCCATAAATACCAGAATAAAATTTAAAGATATCTCACCCAACAAGAAATTCTGAAGATCAGTGGTACTACTTATATGTGGGCTTAACACAATGACTTTTAATGTAGCATATCTGTTTACATGTAGCAACTCAACTTGTACACATAGCTAAATAGTCAAATTGAGGATGTATTTAGAACAGCCTTTTGCTACGATTTATCTTCTCAGACTGTTTTTATTTCCTTGATGTGAACAAGAAAACGTATTAATGCAGGGATCATATTAATTTAAATTTGCTACTGAATTTTAAGATTCAAAGCATTCTAGGTCACTGAGTCCCATGCCACATTTAAAAGAAAGTGGGACAAGACCATGAATATATCTCTTACTTCTTTTTTTTCATGAGAAAATACTGACTGATGTCTAGCTTTCATGGAATCTGTACATATACATCTACCTGCTAACCGTGGATTCATGCTGTATAAATTCTCTCTCCCTGTTTCCAGCTACCCCCATACGGTCCCTAGAGGAAATTCTGTTGTCTTGTTCTTTCTTACTGGGTGTACTGCAGTGCGGAGCTTTGCCAGGACACCCTGTTGGCTCTTCTGATACCTGGGCTACTTTTTAGTCTTGTTTTTCACAGCAGTACAATTCCCCTCTTATTTCAGTGCTCTAGTAAATACTTCAATCACCTAATTTATAGGAGGATGGATTTATTTTTTTAAAATTTCATAACATATGAATTACAAAATACAGGAAGGAATATAATAGGAAAATAGTAGAAACCTACCCAGTAGCTGAACATTACAGGGACCGTGGAAAGGACTTGGACTGTGACTCCTGAATAAGAAAGAGCAGTTATTAGTGTTTCCTTTTTTTTTGGTAAAATGTTAAAAATAAGAAAACACTTTGGTTTGAAAGGTAGAAGGCAAAAACTTCAATGGTAAGAAAAACTGATTTAACAGTGACATGGATAGAATATTTTTTTTTTTTTTGCAAATTGAGGATCATGGTAATAAATCTTGTAGTGTATCAGTTTATTAAAATTGGAATATTTTTGCTAAGTAGAAAGAAAAATAACACTTTCATAATCATACTAGATTACAATGTTATATGAACAATGTTGTTGTTAAACAATTGTTAACATAACAGTTGTTAAACAATGTGTTCCCCAAAGCTCTATTGTGTTAGGTTTCATTCATCCTGTGTCTGGACTACTGAGGTTAAAAGTATAAGAAATTCTGTCTGGTTTTAGAAATAACTTTGATGTTAACAATAAAGAGAATTAAGCCTATGTTTTTTGGTTTCTGTTCAAACACAAATCTACACCATAACTTTGTGCATCTGTCTTACAAGATCTGATTAACATTATGTACAGCAGCAATGGTTTGTGGTTAAGGCTTAGCTCTACAAAATTACTTATATACCCAAAGTACAGCCTAAATTGTATTATCCACCAATATGCTACTGGACACTTGATTAGTATGTTTGAGAACATTTACATTTACCATGTTTTCCACAATAAGCATTGTATCTGCTTTCAATCCATTTTCACACTTCTGAGCAAATTTAACTTAAACCTTAAAGGTAGATTTCCAAGCTGAACATTCCTAGACACTAACCTCAGGAAGAAGAATCAGCACAGAAAACTCTCTACTTTATACCCTCATCAGGTTTTACAGAAGAAAATAATAAGAAAAGCCAGTTAGGATTAACTGAAAGATTTTCTCCAACAAAATTCTGACTATTTTTGTCACAGAACTGTGATGTTAATTGCCTTTACAGCTTGTTTTATTGAATTACCTTGATAGCTTGTTTTATTGACTGGATCAAGACACAGGTTTGTATACCAAATAGACCTAGGACATGATTGTGAGGATGAATTTAGTCCCTTTGGTACATTGGCTACCATTTCTTATCAATGGCAAGATGATTTCTCGGGCATTGCGCAAAGCCATTTAGCAACCAAGCTGTAAGTTATCTCTCCCAGTTAATAATACTTTACAGTGACCGATACTAGCTTTGTTCAGCTGGGAGACTCCTTGTGTCTTTGTTCCAAACTTATGCTATGTTTGGAGGTTAAATTTTTGAGTAAAGTCTATATCTCAGCCTGTGTGACGGAAAACAGTCTTTGAACTAAGCAGCTACAGCTTTGTAAACCGAAAAAGAGTAAATGTGGCCTATAGTCTTTATCATTAGAAGAACACTAAGAATGAAAAACCCTAAGACCTTTTTTTTACACTTAATTGGCTGATGCCTGTATCTCTGGGGTGCTGTAATAAAAGGGGACATTTTTATGGCACAAGTCACCAGATGGTGCTGCAACACACAGTTTTTAGATTTTTATTTTTTTTAACCAAGTGAGCACTGTTTAGTTTGTGGACAAGTATTGTGATGTTTGCTTTATGATACATTTTCTCTTCTGGAGAGCTGTTGCAAAAATTTGAAAAAAATTGTTTCTCTGTTTTCCCTTTGTCTACAGCAAATAGGCGGGGCAGACCTGTTTTGTAGAAACTTGCCATTAGTGTTGAGGGAAATATCTGAAAGATGCCCAAAGGCCATTTATGATCCTGACTGTGGTTGAATGATGTGGTAATCCCCCAAATCCCTGACCTAACTCAGGGAATTATTATGGTCTAGTCAAAGCAGCATATTTCATAGAGGCTGCAAAGACATTCTAGCATTCCCATGAAATGTCTAATGGTTGGAGTTTGAAATACTGCTTCTCCAGGGTGAAAATGAGGTAGTTGAGAATTATTTGTGTTTACATAAATTGCCCACCAGCTCTTTGAGTTCCTAAATTGGCCTGTTATGTGTTGCAGTAAACCTCCATAGGGAGAATGACCCAAAAGTATCTCCTAACATTCTACCCCATGAGAGAGGAAAATAATAATCATAAGGATGCTACTTATAAAATATCTGCTCTTTTAAGTAATTCAGATGTTTATTCCTTATGAAAAGTTGGAGAAGATATTCAAGTTGTGTCTCTGAGAAACTGATGTAGTGAATTATTGAGACCTCAGTCTAAGAAAAAATAATCTTTAGTAACACAATATTTCTCTCACAAAAGTAATTTGGAATTACAGTGTTAAGAAGAACTAACAAAAATAACTGATCAGACTAAAAGTTCCTTTGCTCATCCTCAGTCTTCCATCTTACAAACCTTATTTAGTGGCATGTGAGTAACTTGATGGAAAATAAATTTGCAAAATTTGCATCTACTTAAGTTTCTTTCTAAATCAGGAAACTTCTCTTTTCTGAGAAAGAAATCGTACCAGTTCTCTAGGCTCAGAGTCCTCTAGCAAACGTACAGAATGAAGTTGCAACAACTAAACAGAAAAAATATTAGAAAAGGAAACAAAAATACAAAGAAAACCTATGAGTAAACAGAATATTTTTAACACTTGGAACAAAAATGAAAGGGATTCCTCTTTTACGCAGATCACTTCAATACCTGGAATGTACATTGCCTTTTCAAGCCCAGACTCAGTCATCCTTACTTACATCAACTAGTTCTTTAGTGCCTTAACAATCCCACCAAAATTGGTGAGCCCATGTGGGGAATAAATTGCTACTGAAAATGCAAAAGTTATGGGAACATGTCCCATTTGAGTTTGAGTATAAAGTGCATCAGTTTTCACTGACTTTCAACTCATGTAATGAATCAGTATGCTAAACCTTTTAATTTTCCTATTGTGATTGAGCGCTTTCAGACGCACTAATGGAGAAGTTGCTGTTATTCTAAATGAGACACAATGATTTCAATTCCTTTATGGAGGTACCTGATAGATCCATGTCTTTAATCCGTACTTCTGGATCCCAGCAGTTTTCTTGAATAACTCTAAAAACCTTTCCATCCTTCATCATCTTTGCCTGTCCCTGTGAAACGACATTTTCATATATTATAAAAATGACAAAGTAGTACATTCTAATTTAGAGTTGCTTGAGTATATTGTGCTCCCTACAGAAATTCAGTGAAATAATTTTGTTTTCCTGTTTTTATTCACTAGGTATTTTTAATCAGACTATTTTAAAATAGTCATTAATAAACCAGTCATTTATAGTTCAGATGGCATGAATTCTTCATCATATGAAAATCCCCTTTCTTTTGCAATGTATATCACTCCACATTTGTTTGGAAAAAATATCAGGTACCTTAATCCAAGTTTATCCTCAAACCAAATTTTGACCTCAAAACAGTGCTCTAATTAAATCTGTGCTAAATTTTCCCTTTGAGTATGTGTGTATGTTCTTTTTAAAGTCAATAGCATCACAATGATTCCAGTAACTAAAGAAATAATTGTGCGACTCTGTTAATTTCAGTCCAGTTGGTTCATATCACCAGTGATACTGAGACAAAAGCAGACCTATTATGTTGTCTTCAGATTACATTTTTTCCTTGACAAAAAAAGAATTATTGAAGAATTTGTGTTTGGGAAAAAAACTTAAAACCTAAATGCAGTATAAAACCATTACCTGAATTACTGTAATACCTTCCCCATATGCCACCAATTCCCAGACTTACAAAGTTATAAATATTATCAAGGTAATGAAAATGAATACTGTTCCTTTAACAACGAACTTAGAGACTTCCTTTTTAAACTTAATTTTTGGTTGATTTGTCAATTTTTCAAAGTGGCTGGGTAGGCACAGTGTTGTCCCATTAAGCAAAGTAAAGACAGACAAAACAGTATTTCTGTTGGCTTGTGCTTGCACAAATTGAAGAGATACGATTCACCAGTACTTGCAAGGCCTGAGTATTTCTTGGTTGCTTGAAGCTACTATAGGGATAAACAGAAATGGGTGAAAGTCAGAAGATCCATATGGCCCCGTGTATTTGAGATGGGTAAATGCAGTGATGCAGCTGATGTACTGGACAGAGAACACACTGCATCTGCAGCTGAACACTGAAAACCGCATGAGAAAACACAGCAGCTACTCCTTCACCTTCACAGAAAACAGAAGGTAAGCACAGGGCAGTCTTCTGGCCCTTCTGGGAAGGGCATTCTCTCTCTCCAAAGGCCACGTTATTTTTCCTTACAAAACTGGTTTATCCTGTCTATTTTTCTAAGTGAAAAACCTGTTAAATCAGAATATTCCTTACTGGTACGCTAAACCAAAAAAACTAATACAATTTCACTGCTTCTTGCAGAGCTGGGTTTCTCTCCCCTCCTTCAGAGAAGCCAGACTGTTCTTAACCTTGAATTTGTTATTAGCTTCATACATCATTCACAAATATACTGCCCTAATGAATATTTTAAAGCTAAAAAATCTAACTGTGCTGCCTTGGCACAAGTTACTTGTTAGCTGTATCACAGATTGTGAAAATTACTTGAAATATTACAGTCAGTGATAACAACTACATAGTCCTGATCCTCTGGTAAAATACTTCAGGTTCTTGTAAAATTGATTTTCCAACCTGACAGAAAGTTTTACTCTAGCCATACACTCCAACACATTAAAAAAAGATCAGCACATTGCTCCAGATTGCCTAATAAACAGAAAAACTTTCGGAGTGGGAGTAGAGAAAAAGACAGAGTAGAAATGAGCATTGCATCACAAACGAATAGATCGTGTGGACTTCATTGGATTACCACTGGGAGTACTTCTGGGAATGCAGGCAACTTAATTCTTTCCTCAGACATCGCTAAGGCATAGCAGCTGACTTGCTCATTTATATTTTCTCCTGCTAATGCTGGAAACAATATTAGACAGATTGTAATTTTACTAGCAACTTTGACAGTGCTCATACTTAAATGCCGATACACAGTTATCCTCTGAATGCTGCAGCAGGGTTTGCAATACAGGAAAGGTTTCTAATAGGCCATGTGCTGTTCGCTTTGAAGAATTAGTTGCAACACTTTGCAATTTTAATTTGCAATAAGTGATCCTTTGTGAACATGCTACAGGTCAAGGCTAAGGTCACAGCATTGTATGTTGGCAACAACAAACCTGATTATGCAGGAAAGCAAGCCATGATCATCTGAATAGTTTCATGCTTGTGTATGTAAGGATAGAGAGATCTGGTCTAGCAGCACTGTGACTGGAAAATGAATCATATTGCTGTAGTCTCCAGACACTGCCACTAATCTGCACCTGGTATTTTTAAAATGAGAAATTACTCAGACACTTCAACTGGGAAACAATTCCAGAGTTTTTTTTTTTGAGATAGTAAGAATGAAATATGGATCAGGAAAAAAAAAATTCAGGTTCCAAAGCAATGGATACAGTGCTGAAAATCTCATAAAAGACACAAGATTTTTATTTGCAAGTTTAACATGACTTTCCAAGGGCACAGCTGAAGAATTCTGTCACTCCTATTCTATTCCATTCCATTCCATTCCATTCCATTCCATTCCATTCCATTCCATTTTATTCTACACATCACCTGATATTTAAGGCAGAAATTAAGAGAGAGAGAGATTTAAGAATTAGGTCCAGCAGGCTGATCTGGTTCAGCAAGCTACATTTAAAATGATCCCATCACTAAACTACTCAGTCACATCTCAAATTGCACTTCTTTAAAAATGCATGTAATTATTTTCTTCCAGTTTGACCCTGATGCTTCTTCACAGAATGATATGAGAAGCTTTTGATTTTTTTTAATCTTAAGGGTTAACTTCCCCAGCCCCACATATCTGAACAGGATTTTATTTTGCCGTGCACTTTTTCATGTAACCTTTTCCGACAGAAGTAGGCTAGACAGAATTCTCTGCAAAGTGTATAAGTCTATTATTGACTTGCCACAAAGTTCCTTTGCGAACTATTTTTAGCAAGGAATTTTAGCATCAGATCTGAAGCAAACAGCTAAGCTGCTAAAAATGTCTCCAACAATTCTCACCTTCCTGCCCCTACCATGTATCTCAGAAGCTGTGCCATCCATACTTTGGTTCAAAAAAAACCCCCTCCTGTGCCTGCGTAGACTCAGATCTCAAATTTCAGCCCAATATTTGTTTGCTCCTCATTCTCAGTCCCAACCTTCACATTCTGTGGTCCTTTTTCATAAATCATTGTTAGTCATTTGACAGCATAGCCTTGCATGTTATGGAATGACAACAGTGTGCAATAAACTGACACAGTGTTGTATCCATTTTATCAGCTTGTTTTTCAGTTAATATAAGCATATATACAATCACAAAGAAGCATGATTTTGCGAAGTGACAAGACCATGAGGGAATATCTAGTTCCACTGAAATTAACAGGCATTATATATTGTGGTGGGTTGACCCTGGCTGGATGTTAGGTGCCCACCAAGCTGCTCTATCACTTCTCCTACTCAACTGAACAGAGGAGAGAAAATATAACAAAAGGCTTGTGGGTCGAGATAAGGACAGGGAGAAATCTTTCACCAGTTACTGTCACTGGCAAAACAGACTCAACTTGGGAAAAAATTAATTTAATTTATTACCAATCAAATCAGAGTAGGATAATGAGAAATAAACCCAAATCTTAAATCTTTCTCCCACCCCTCCATTCTTCCTGGGCTTAACTCCCCTCCTGATTTCTCTACCTCTTCCCCCCCAGCGGCACAGGTGGATGGGGAATGGGGGTAGCGGTCAGTTCATCACATGTTGTATCTGCTGCTTCTTCCTCCTTACCTCCTGACTTCTCTACCTCTTCACCCCAGGTGGATGGGGAATAGGGGTAGCAGTCAGTTCATCTCATGTTGTATCTGCTGCTTCTTCCTCCTTAGGGGGAGAGTTCCTCACACTCTTCCCCTACTCCAGCATGGGGTCCTTCCCACGGGAGACAGTCCTCCATGAACTTCACCAATGTGAGTCCTTCCCTCAGGCTGCAGTTCTTCACAAACTGCTCCAGTGTGGGTCCCTTCCATGGGGTGCCGTCCTTCAGGAACAGACTGCTCCAGCATGGGTCCTTATTGTTCTACTACTTGTTCTCATCATGAAGTTACAGAAAT